AGATGGCACTAAGCTGGCAGGAATAGCCAACAACCCAGAAGACAAGATCTTGACAGACCTGAACAATGGGCCCTATCCAACAAAATGTAATTTAATGTGGAGAAAAGGAAGGTTTTACATGTAGGCAGGAAAAACCAAAGGTATGATTAGGCGAAACCTGGATCAAAAACAGTAACCTTGAAGTAACCTTCAAGAGGGACCTTGAAGTCCTATTGGACAATCACTTAAATATGAGCCAGCAGTGTGCAGTAGCAGCCAAAAAAGCTAATACAATCCTTGCTTGCATAAACATAGGCATAGATTTAAAATCATGTTTATTAGTACCGCTTTATAAAGCCTTAGTAAGGACACATCTGGAATACTGCATCTAGTTTTGGTCACCACATTACAAACAAGATATTGAGACTTTGGAAAAAGTGCAAAGAAGAGCAACTAAGATGAATAAGGCTGGAGATAAAAACATATAAAGAATGGTTGCAGGATTTTGGTTTGGCTAATCTAGAGAAAAGAAGGACTGGGTGGGGGGGGGGACATGATAGCAGTATTCCAGGACTTGAGAGGCTGCCACAAAGAAGAGGGGGGTCAACTTATTTTCCAAAGCACTAGAACACAGGACAAGAAACAATGGATGGAAACTAATCAAGAGAGAAGCAACTTGGAATTAAGGAGAAACTTTCTAACAGTGAGAACAATTAACCACTGGAACAGCTTGCCATCAGAAGTTGTGGGTGCTTCATCACTGGAGGTTTTTAAGAAGAGATTGGACAGTCACTTGTCTGAAATGGTATAGGATCTCCTGCTTGAGCAGGGGGTTGGACTAGAAGACCTTGAAAGTCCCTTCCAGCTCTATTCTGATTCAGATGTCAGTGAACCAAGACAATCTGATGTCAAGTGGATACTAGAACAAATATACATAGATGAGACAAGAGAATCCGGGTGATGGAATGCTACTACCAGTACAACAGTAAATCTATTGACAGAGGTATATGAAACGTATGAGGGAACTATGGATGGACAGAAGACTTGCATTCACACTAATTGAAGAACAGATAATTAGACAATGTTTAAACAGTTAAGAAGAAGCTGCTCTCACAACTTGAGATGGATCAACTACACATTGCATCTTAGACTCAAGAAGACCCAGAAGAACAATTAGATGCATGGCCAACACCTGAAGCTGGAATGTAACTGCCACCTCCTCTATTACAGAGCACTGCAGCTGATTTGAGATATAAGATCATGAATAAACTAGCTACAATCACCCCTCAAGACAGGTTACCAATGCTCAGTGGAGAGATATATCAGACAGTATGCTAGAAGATGCCAATAGAACCCTCACAACAATCCTTACTACTACCATAACTCAAACCAATGATATATGCTATGATCACTATAATCCTGGAGATAATTGGCTACATAGTCAAAAACAGCAGTGCATATCATTTCCCCTGCCGAAAATGATGTTGGGGGCTAAATTGGGCAAGCAAAGTATTAGGTTCTTTGTCCATGGACCCCTACTGCTCAGGTAGGCATCAGCCAGGACTTGCTACATTAATTCAACAGTGCAGAACAAGTGAACTTCTCAATTTACTCTGAACTTTTCAATTTACGTCTGACAGCTAGCCAAAAGCAGTGAGAACAGATCTGATATGGTAA